CTAGGGTCAGAGTCCATTTCCTTGAACGACTGTGGGTGGTACTCTCACCACCTGACTTTGGTTTGCCTGTTTGTAGAGAGAGTCGCCATTTTGTATTTTACTTTCACTCAGTTCTCGGTCCCGAGTACCTACAAGTCAGGCTTTTTTAAGCGCGCCTGATTTGGGCACTTAATACTCTGTGCCAAATTACAACTCCTGACATGTACTCCTTCATACCTCTAAGCTGGTAACACAGCAAGCAGTGCGATTTTATAAACAAGACATAGTGTTGTTGACAATTATTTTTTTTAAGGTAATATTGTTATTTTACAACAACTTTTGTTAGACATTTAATAAAACAAATTTCAATATTTTAAATTTATAAACAAACTGTTCAAACGTTTCTAGAAAAACTAAAATTTATTGTTGTGTATTAAATATTTTTTATTAATAAAAATTTAAGATTTGTTTTAGTTTTTCACATTTTTTAGTTTTGTTTTATTTATTGTTTTATATTTTTTGTGTGCTCTATTTCTAGTGTGAGAAAGGGGGGCCCGTAAGAAGAAAATGTCTAGAGCCCCAAAGTGGGTTAATCCGGCCCTGCTCGTAATGCAGAAAGACTACACTAGTGAGAAAAACTATTCGTAACAAAATTTATGAAAATACATTTAAAAAGGTTCTGTGGTCTTATTCCGTATACAGTAGACCCCCCTATAACGCGGGTTCATATAATGCGGATTCGTATATCGTGGCGAAATAATTGCGACAGTATTAGTATAAAGACGCTAAAAGACTCATAAAATGCGGTAAAACGTCATCGCCGATTCGTTCGCGACAGGATTGGTCGAATCTGGACCAATAGTGGACGAGCAGCCGAACTACTTACACGCTACAGAGAGTTTAAGCGTGTAAGTTGAGTTTACTATCGTCTGTACAGTATATAGGCCTAAATTACGTACTGTAAGTCTAATACAGTACTGTAATTTTATACATTTCTTGTGAAAAAAACATTTCTTATTCAACGGCCATAAAAATTATTTATATTAATGATGTCTCCAAAGTTCAACGAATTTTTCGCAGAAAAATAACTTATCAGAAAACGCGCCTGCTGTTTGGTGCGCTGCTCCGCGACGAAAACAAGCTTAAGCAACGGCGTGGTTGAACAGTGCACACTTGGTAAGTAATCCTACAATTTTTTGTTTATAGCGTAGTTTATACAGATTATTCCCAAAAAATTATACGTGTTTTGGAAATGTTGAGTGAAATTAGTCTAGAATCGATTAATTTTATGGAAGAAAACCTTTCAAACAGCCGTAGTCCGTAAACTGTACACGTGCCGGGCTGTGATTGGCTCATGTATTTAAGGATTCCTACAACGCAAAATTCTTATAAAGCTGAATGTATCTACCGCGTTATAGGGGGAGTCGACTGTATATAGTATATATTATGATATAGCCATTATACATACCAAAGTAATTCCTAAACTCCATACATCAGATCGTACATCATATCCTCTCGCTCTACCAGGATCAATTCGTTCTGGCTAAAAATAATTATGAAAAAAAAAAACATAAATTGAAATATTAATTAAAAACTTTATCGCTAAATGTATTATTTTCTAAGAATTCACAACGTATAATGCCAAAACTAATTTTAATTAGTGAGAAATATAATTCAGCAATTCTTTTTCTAAGTAGAAATAAAACAAATTGTAATAAAAAATTAACCTCAAATCACACCTTACTACTAATAATAAAACTACTGAAGCAACAAACATTCTCTAAAGGACAAATTTAGACAAAAGAAAACAATAATACAACCATCTTTGTCTTGGACCTTACAGTAATAAATGAAGTCTCTTATAGGATTACAGAAAAAAAGACCTAAAACATAAGACACTATATTTCAAAAAAATGACAAAATATTTAACTAAAAACAATATGGCAACTTGTTAACAAAAAGGCAAAAAGGTGGTTTCATTTGCAATTCCTTAAATTTTATTTACAAAATAGAACCAATTGGTGACACGTGACTAATGAAGCATGAAATAAAACTTTTCTGTACATATTTTCTAAATTACTATTAAATATTTTTATAAAATTTACATATAATGGTCATTAAAATATTTAAAAGTTGTTTTCCTTACAGAAATATTCCTAAATATTTAATGATTATAAAAAATTTAACCAAACAAAAACATTTATTACATTTTTTATTTATATTTATAAAATTTCCAGTAATTTCTAATTATATATTTTACTTACTGCCATATATGGACGACAACCAGCATCCCTTGTTTTTGCAATAGAATCAACTAATTGCCCACTTATTCCAAAATCACAAAGTTTAATATTCCCACGACGATCTAAAAGAATATTGCTTGGTTTAACATCTGAAAATAAAAGAAAAAAAAAAAAAATCATTATCTATTTACCTTTCCCACTTCATCTGAATTTACAAAAAATGCTAAATCATTCATTTTGTAATTTACTGTATTATGAATACAATAACTATTTGTACAACTATTAAATTATTCTTTATATTTCTAATATATCATTATGAATGAGAGCATTAGCAATAACAGCCATTTTACATTAAAGTTGCAGTTTGATATTATCGAATGACATGTTATAATGTGTAAGATCACATAAATGTCTCTTCTTAAACTTCTTTTTAACTGTAGGTAAGCAATCATGTGTAAAATGATGAACAAAATATGACGGTATCTCAGTACTCAAACAATTTGGTATTCAAACACAAATTCTGGAAAAAAGTCGTTCGGTACTTGACCGAACAAACGTGACCCATTATAATAAATTTTCAATTAATAACATATTTTTATTTTGTTATCCATAAAAATTTTTTATAATAAAAATGAAAAATATGAAAATGTTGCTGATACTTCTCAGATCAAGATCAACAAAAAAGCTCAGAAGATGACAATACTTTGTAAATTACCAGCAATCTGACAGCAGAGTGGTGTCAAATTGCTGGTAATTTTTATACTTTCACAAAATTTAATAAGTTATATGTAATCTGAATATTGCAGACATTGCTGTACATTTTGTACCAATGCCTGCTGTATACTTCAGATTTGTTAGGCACACTCCATAATCAACATACAGCACATTACTACACTGTATTAAAATTCATTGAAAAACTTGCAAAGTACTAATGAATATGTTATTGTCTAGATCTTTAGCATACCACATGTTCAAACATGTGGTATGCTAATTTGCAAAATATTAACATGCCAGATTATCATCGGACAATTTTGAATTATTGACTACTTTCAGAGGATGCCAGATCAACAACTGCTGGATTAATAAGAAACTACTATGATAACCATCTTGGAAGAAAGTTTTTTCCTAGATGGGTGATTTATAAATTTGGAATCTTTAAATATTAATAAACAACAAGCTTAAGAATGGAAAACGATTGGAAAATCTAGAATCAATTTTTTGAAAGAAATATGAAAATTCTCCATTTATATGTAAATATGCATTTATATGTGGATATGACCTGTTAATTTAATTATATATAAAAGGCATTTTAAAATTAACACAGTGTTAATTTTCACATATGACATTCAGATCAGAAATTTTGTCTATAAAATTGATGTTTTACTGTACTGATAAACTCAGAAAGTCACTGTAAAATTACAAAAAATATCAAACTGAAATGAAGAAAATCAGGATGATATTGTCCTTTATATTCTAACAATAGCATGACATTAGATCTATAATAGCATAGTCTCATTAAAATAATTAAAACAATAGAACAGCATCTTTCTTCTGCTTATGTAGTTTCATATTTTAATACTTTTATACTTATTACTAAATTTTCATCTTAAATTATTTTTTCTTATTAAATGCATTAATTACTAATAAATATTCCAAATGTTTTCATGCCTACATTATCTTTAAACATTATCAGATATTAATACACTACTAAAAAATATCAAAATAATTTTTTTATTTACTATATTTAATAACTATTTCTCAAAAATTCAATATAAGACTATAATAAAACTTATACATACACAAAGCTATAAATTTTCAATAATGAATTTCTCACCTCTATGTATAATATTTAATTTTTCCTTCAAGTAATTTAATGCTTTGACAGTCTGAAAAATACATTAGTTTTATAAAATAAAATTCTTTTACACAATAAAAAGTTAAAATAATAATTAAAATATTCAAAAAACGAATATTACCAAAATCAAGTAATATGCAATTTATACCAAGAAAACAATTTTCAATTTTTTTTTACCATAAATAAATGATGTTTTAAACTGAAGATAATTATCTGTTAATTTAAAATAATAATGCCACAATAATTTTCCATAATTAAAAAATTTCAATAAAATGAAAATTAAAAATAACTCATTCATGGCAGAAGGATGAAAGTATCTTTTTTTTACAATTGTAAGATTCAAAGAAAAAGTAATTTAAAAATTTAGTTATATTTTAATACAATGACGAAAATACAAAAATACAAAATTGAGTCAAAGGTCGGATAAAGAAAATATAACCAAGTGGGAAAAACCCACAAACATCCTATTTCTCCCAATGTCTTAATTGATAAAAATCAATCAAATATCGCTACAAGTTAACAATTATTACTAAGGTTGCAATACAAATCCTGACCTTAGTCTCTACCGACAATTAATTTAGCATGTTTGACAGATGTTATCAGTTTATGAGGTAAAATGAATAACCATACTGGATAGAGAAAAAGGTAATAAATTTGTTGAAACATTCGATTTCTGACAATTAACATAAACAACACCCGGACGCAAATCAAACTTAGATGGGATTGCATCAGAACATCCCCTGATAGTTCCCCCTTACAGGATGTGTATAAATAGGGGTCATACCCCGCACCTCGGGGCAATCACCATAAGGAACCCTCCGGGCCGGTAACTCTATTCGGACCTCCTCTTCATGGACTGCTCAAGACTTGATCGCCAAACCTCTCCTGACAACCTCCACCTTCACGATAGTTTCACCAACATCGTATGGAAAGGACATGAATTATCAGAGGTATTTTAGCTCTATTGAAAGCGTTCTCTCTCGGATAATAAATAGTATAATGTATAGTTAATTAAGTAGTATAACGCGTATCGGGCTGCTTACTAAAAGTTTGTCGCAAATATATCTTTGTAACTTCTAACGCGATAATGCCATATTTAGATATACTTGTAACTTTATGTATCTTAGTAACATCTAACTTTATTCCAACTATCAGTTATATGTTTTAACTGACTGACTCATTTTAAAAAACACAAAAAAATTTTTTAAATGGTTTTAAACAAAGAATTTGATTATTTTTAGAGAATACTACTATACCAAGTTACTACATAATGATTCTAAAATCACACAAATATTGTGGAAGAAACAGCAATCACAATTTTTAAGTCAGTTTTTAATAGTTAGACCAGGGGTCGGCAGTTTGTCAAGTGAGAAGAGCCAAATTGTCATGAAAACAGGATAACAAAAGTACCAGAGAGCTGCATATTAATTTAAATGTGCGAAATACGACACACGACAGAGGCGCCTCTAGTGGCCGTTTTCGGCATAACGTTACACGGATGGACGGACACGCGTTCAATGGGTTATATATATAGATATGCTTCAAATGCTACCACTCTTATGCGACTCATATTGATCAACGTGAGTGTGGTCATGTGCGGACAGAGAACAAGTCAAAGTTTGTTCGGCGGCTCTATCTCATAAACTCATAAGTTATAAGGCTGCGGTGAAATGAGGTGAGATGAAATTGGAGTTTATGTCCGAAGAGCC